GTCGGTGCGCGCCCGGGATCCGAACCTGGGACGCCAGTAGCGGAGCGCGCGCACTCAACCGCTAAGCCACGGGGCCGGCCCTTGGCTCATTTTTCAAAATACAGTTTTATGGAAGCAGTGGGGAAGGGGGAGCAATGAAAAAAACCACAAAACCCTCACACTCAGAAAGCCAGAAAACCTCCTGACTTGCCTTAGGCCAAATTGAGCAAATAAAGGAAAACCACTTAGCTACCCCCAACCCCCTTCTCGCAGCTCTACCAACAGCCAACTTCCTCTTCTTCCCCTCTCTATCCTTCTGCCCCAACTCCACAAATAGCCCAGGATATTGCTAACATTCTGGTTCTATATTCAGTTTACCTGCTCTGGGGTTAACACGCTGCTTTTTCTGTCCCCCATCTCTACACTTTCCTTGGATTCCCCAGAATATTAAGATTTGAGATTTTAAATTCAATCGACTTTTTTTTTAAAAAAAAACCATTTTATTGGATGTGTGAACAGAAAATTAGTAAGTCTGTAACATGTGTGATCTTAGTTAAAAGAGCTAAATCAAATCCAAAACCTAGCCAGAGTGCACCAATATCCCTGCTTCCCAGATTCACTCCCCCCTTCCTTCCAAGCTCTTAGCTCCTAATTCCCCCTCTCACGGGTCGCCCTGATCCCTCCATCTGCCTGACCCCTCAGTTGCACCCTCCCACTCCCGCTGCCCAGGGGCTCCAAAGCAGTCGGTACAGCAGCATGAGAGCCCTGAGCAGAGACCAGAGGGAGCCACCATATTAAGAGGAGTGCTGACTGCAAACACAGGCCAAAGATGAAAAGCTTACATCCACTCAATTGTTTATAGATGTGTTTGTGCCAAGAAAACCCCATCCTCCAATCACCAAACTTACAGAAGACTTTGTTCATTTCAAATGTCCACTCAGAAAATATGCAAGGGCCACCTAACATAGTCTGCTGTTTGAAAGATACATTACCTCTGAGGAGCTTTAAGACCTTGGAGAAATCTCAACTCCGCTTATCTTTTTTTCACCAAGAAAGCAAAAAGTTAACCAGGATTCTCTCCCCTAAAAGGTCTGAATTTACATAGATTCACTGTACTAAGGCTGACACTTAAAACTTGCTCTGAGCACAGAGTAGCAGACAGGTGGCACTCAACTGTTCTCTGTTTCATGTGTGGAATCTGATCTCCACACTAGACTGTCACCTCTCCTGGGGCAGGACCAATACTTCTTTGGCATCCCACCCTGCACTTAAGCACATGATTGGGCATTTGGTAGACAAGGCAAATATTTGCTAATTTGTCTGAAAATTGTTTTAAAGCAGTTTTTAGTTGTTTAGTTTTATTTATTTTTGTTTATTTTTTCCCGCAAAGCCCCAATAGATAGTAGTTTTATTTTTTAAAGAAAGAATGTTAAATTTTCCCCTTATCTGTTTTTTTAAACTAGGAAAATAGAACAGACCCTATTTGATAAATAAAGCAAAGAAAATCCCGTTTAAGGTTACCGCCTTAATTATAAGGCAGGCTGACTAAACATTTTGAGGAGGGAGGATCTCATTTTATTCCTCTGGGCCTTCGTTCTGCTCCCCACCCCTACCTCCCACCACAGTACAAAAAGTTCAATCAATGGCTCATTGCAGTGAATCTTCATAACTTGGGATTAAAGGTAAGAGTTCTGCCATCTTGGTCATTCCTGCCATTTGCTTGACGTGCCCTTTCTCCTTTTCCCTCAGCCTCCAAACAAGTCACATTCTGAAGACATCCAGAGACACTCAAGCTCAACAACAGCTGACCGTGGACAGAACCCTAACCTCTTCTAAACCAAAAGCTGACACCACAAAGGAACAGATTCTCCTCCTTAAAGATAAGAGATCCTGGAGTCTGCTTCCAGCTAAGGATCCTGGAGTCTGTTTTTTTAACGTTAAGGAATTCTACCTTCCAGCACTATGTAAGACTGCTATCTGGGTGCACACAAAAGTCTCTGAGCAATGCATATGCAAATTAGAATGTTTATACAATAGATGTAACTAAACCACACACTTTACCTGAACAGAAAGCTTTAAAAATTCATTTCAAACATTTCATTTTGCACTACTACTCTGAATTCTGGAGTAACTGGTGCTAATCTAGAATTTCAGTGTTAGGATGTGCGCTCTGATTCTCCTCATTCAAATACATGCTGCCATTTATCAACGGAGCAGAAAAATGAATTTTTTCTTTGTTTAAAAAGATACAGTATTTTGGTTATTTGAAAAAGCCACAGTTGAATAACATTCTATATTATATTTGTGATTCACTCTCAAATAAGATGTCACCACATCCCCACTCTTCTTTTTCAGGTGGTAAATAAAAAATATTAGAACAGAACTTTAGTTTCAAAGTTTTTTACAATTTACAGGCAACAAACCTTTAAAAATTAATACTTTGCCCTCAACATTTTGACACCTTGTTTTTACTTCTTTATGGTTTGAATCTCAGGGGCTGAGGAAGTATTAACCAAATTTTTTCTTTACAATGTTAAAGAAGCCAGTGTTCCCCAAAACAAAAACAAACAAAGACAGCTCATGACAGAAATGTTCTCTACCTTGATTGGGTTGTGAGTTATACAGATGTATACATTTTTCAAAACACAGCAAACCGTACTCTTACAATCACTCTACATTTCACTGTATGTAAATTATGGCTCAATAAAAAGATTTTTTTTAAATCTTTCTGCAAATCACATTTCAGTGTCTGTCGTCAGCAATCCATCTCAGACCTAAGTTTTTTGTGGGTCAACAAAATCCTAAAGTCAAAAAGGAATCGCCTTATCCAAAACTCACTGACATCCCTCCCCATCCATTCTCCAGAAATTTCCATCTCAAATCCTTCTTCACACTGGAATTGCCCTAGATATGAAATTCCACTCACCTCAACTGACTGAGAAGGCATTTTCAGCTTGGTGAGCTTGGCTCTGGCAGGCACTTTTAAGTCTGTTTTTTCAAAGGTGTGTTGCCGATAGTCCTCTGGCAATGGTTTCAGTTCAGGAGACTCACTAGGAGCCTGATCTTGACCATCCATGGGCCGGACATAAGCCGTGGGCTTCTGCTGCATTGCAATGCTTTTTGAGGGGAGGGAGGGTGGGGGAAAAGTCTGAGAAGGTGGCTGGGGAGGGGCTACCCCAAGGCTGGCAACTGCCACTAAACTGTCTTGAGGGGTGTCTTTATCATGGACCTTTACCACTAGGTCCTTGGGAGATTTGGCTGGGCAGTAGCCTTTATTGTTATTGCTACTGCTGTGAACCTTGTTGCTTTCTTGCGTCCTGGGAAGAGCTTGCTGGTTGGAATGTATAGGTGACAAAGGGGGCACTGGAGAAGGCAAAGAGGAGAGTAAGGGAGAAAGCTCCCTCCCTGGAGCTGAGTCTGCCATTGAAGCACAGCGGTCTCCATCAGCTCTGCGGTCACCTTTTTTGTGATGAGTGGAGCCGTAGCCCTCCTGACCAAGGCGATCTTGGGTCAGGTGCTGGCTGTCTGGTGGGCCATAGCTTTTGACGTGGACACTTGGCATTGGTTCCATTCTTGGCTGCGCCATCTTTGGATTGTGACTAATGTTACCAACAGGAAGTGGTCCAGAGGCAGGAGTGTTAATAGGCTGGTGGTGGACACTAGTGTGGAAGGAGTGGGATGGAATGCTGCTCCCCTTCTCAGGAAATAAAGGATATCTCGGTTTTCCCAATCTATTTTCAGAAGCATCCAAGCGATGAGGATGGGACTTGGTACTAAGGAACTCCTTTACTTCTTCATAGTTTCCCAACATGTTCTGTATTCGACTGGATAGCTCATCACCTTTTTCTGTCTGAAAAAAGAAAAATAAGGCAGTAGAATTAGATACTGAAAAAAAAAAAAGTCTAAGGAAAACCACCATTTAATAAAGCATGTTACATAATACCATTAAAAAAGAAACACCTGAATTTAATGTGTGAAATAGAATTTAATGTGCAATTTAAACTCAATTCCCCTAGGGCCGGCCCCTTGGCTTAGCGGTTAAGCGCGCGCACTCCACTGCTGGTGGCCCGGGTTCGGATCCCGGGCGCGCACTGACGGACTGCTTCTCCGGCCATGCTAAGGCCACATCCCACACACAGCAACTAGAAGAATGAGCAGCTATGACATACAACTATCTACTGGGGCTTTGGGGGGTAAAAAATAAAATTAAATTAAACTCAATTCCCCTGTTGAGAATTCTGTCATGGACAAATATTACTAAATACAGGAGACTAACATTACAAAAGAAAACCACAAACTTTGGTAATTTTGACTAGGTTTAGAGAATTTTCATATTTTGTTTTCAAAAACAATCTCTAGGATAAGTTGTCTTATTTTTACAATTGTGACCCTTGTTCCAACTCACTTTCATCACAGAGTTAAACATGGTGATAAATCAGACTTGCTAGTATACAATAAATACCTTGTAGGGCTCTCCAAAAAGGGGAATCTTTTCAGGAAATGCCTCTTTCTCTTGGTGAGCTTCCTGGTTGCGTCTTTCCTTCTCTCTAATTCGAAGCAGGTTTCTGTCTTCATTGTACAAGCTGTTTCAGATGCCACAAAAGAACAAAAGCAATAAAATGTATTGGTATCCAAGTTTTGCTGTGGATATGTGCATGTGTGAGGGAGGCAAGGAAAAGCCAAGAAGCAGCGTTGACAAGGGAGATGATTTAAAGAAAGCCTAAGTTCCTCAACCCACTCCTAGATTAAGGTCTCAGTCAACAGGCTATGACCCTCCAGCCTCAGGTCCTGGCTCCGGAAACCTAAGCATTCACTCTGGGCTAGTGCCTTCATGGCGCAGGACAGGCTCCAAACGGAACAGTCTTTTATAGGCAGTGGTGGAACTGAGACAAGATTAATGGTATTTTTACTTTCAGCTTGCAAAATATGGGGTAGAGGTAGAAGCTTTTCATCTGAAGGAGTCAGCAGGATGTGAACTTTAAAAAGGCTGTTTTCCTGGATCACTGTTGTACATTTTGGAAGATTAAAATCAAAAGGCTTATTTCATAATTAAAAGATTACCAGGCACCCAAAACAGCACTTACTTTATTCTCAGTCTACTGTACTGGGAGTGTCTCGGCATGTAAACCCGAAAAGACAATTTTTGTTTCTCATTTCAAATGTCAAGGATGGGAAAATCCAATTTTAGATGTCAGCTCTACCTACTGAGAAGTCTCATAATCTGATTGTCCTATTCAAACCACATAAAAATGCATCCTAAATCATCAGCCCTGGCACCGACGGGGTTAAAATGCATTCCTGACAAACAAATCACAGAGATGGAAACCAAAGAGTGGAGTTTTAGCTAGCATACAACTCAAAAGTGGGCTTGCCTCAGGTCTGCAATACAGGCCACGCTCCCAACTCCTACACGTGATATATAAGAGTAATGAAAATAAGAACTATAAAAAGACTTTTGTCCTCATAGACTTGCTTCTAAGGTATCTACTGAATCTTTTCCCCCTCAATGTTATTTGTTTTTTGTGTGTGTGTGAGGAAGATCAGCCCTGAGCTAACATCCACGCTAATCCTCCTCTTTTTGCTGAGGAAGACCTGCTCTGAGCTAACATCTATTGCCAATCCTCTTCCTTTTTTCCCCCAAAGCCCCAGTAGATAGTTGTATGTCATAGTTGCACATCCTTCTAGTTGCTGTATGTGGGACGCGGCCTCAGCATGCCCAGAGAAGCAGTGTGTTGGTGCGTGCCCGGGATCCGAACCCAGGCCCACCAGTAGCGGAGCGTGCACTTAACTGCTAAGCCACGGGGCTGGCCCTCTCAATGTTATTTGAATAAAAAGAAAAAAAACATTCAATCGTCTTGCCAGGACTATATGTACCTTTAGAAATTCTAGTCTTGATGTCAGACACTCTCTCCAACCCCTTTCCTGGCCTCTCTGCTCTCTCATGACTTCTCTTATTTCCTCTGACAAGAGCCTACTTACCGGTCTCCCTGCCTCCCCTGTATCTTGTCCCTCTAATTTAGCCTTCCCATGGAAAGAAATCCAATCTAAGGCTCTGGTTCTCATGTCACTACCCATATTTTAAAATAACAAGCGTTTGATGGCTCTTTACTGCTGCAGAATAAACCCCAAATCCTTGCTTTGGCATTAAAATTCCCCCATAATCTGGTGCAGATCTACTCTAGAAATTATCCCACCGTCTCCCTGCAGTCCTGCCACACGCATGCTACTTTACAGTCACGTACATTCCCCAAACATACCCTGTAAAGGGCAGCCTCTTGCTCTAATCCCCAGCCTAGAACCCCCTTTTAGTGAAAGATACCCAATTTTTCCAGGCCCAGCTTACCTATGAAGTATGATTCTCCTGCAAACCACCCTCTATATTCCAGTCATACCAGACTACTCCCCGCTCCTCAGCAATATCCTGGACTTTGATGTTTTCACTCTAATCACACAAATTTCCTCTGCCTCTCTTTCAACCACACACCCCCTCCCCAATTTTCAGTCACCAGCAAATCTCTGCAGTGATTCCAGTGTCACCCACTCTAAAGGCTTCCTCAAAGCCACAAAGTGCGTGCTGACTTAACTTACTGACTGGTTCTCCCTCCTTCTCCCTTTCCCCCAGAACGTGAACTCCATCATAATAGAACCTCTCATATTCATCTCTCTCCTGGTGCTAAAGCATGGTACTTTGCACAGAAGCTAATCATTAAATATTTTTAAATTAAAAAACAGCTACTAAGCTTATAGTATATATTTTTAAACTTACTTGTAATTTTTTTTAAAAAATTAACTCTGGAAGACATATGCAAAAACCATTTAAAAAATTAACCATTCAAAAAAATGACCTTCTGCTATTTCCATAGGCTTTCAATCTAATGGTAGTGGGGAGGCGAGGCTACCTGGTTGAATTCACTAGGACGTGGGAAAGAATTACCTGCTTAGACCATCGCATCAAAAACTCTTCCTGATGATAGATATCTCAGTATCAGATTTTAAGTGAACAATTTATGTTAGTCAACACACCGAAAAGTTGAGGAAAAAAACTAACCCAGGAACTGGCTATGGAGTCATCTTTAATATTGCACACGTTTCGGACAGTTAGATTGCCTTCTGGTTGACAGTAGCACGATGGACTTGATGACCACTCAAGAATTCTTTTCAATTATTTTAGGATTTTGGTAATTAATTCCTCTTGTTGGCTCAAAAAAAAAAAAATCACATAACATTAACATACAACCATGGGAGCCAAGTAAGAGGGTTGATCAGGAACTAACTACTTTCCTCCTTCAAACTTGCTTTACAGCCACTTTGTCTGTAGGGAGAGGTGGGGCATGCAACCCCTCCTCTGAGCAACTCGAACTCCCAAGCTCCTCTTTTCCAGAGCCTCCTGGTACAGGCACCCACACCTCACCTCACAGAGGGAAGGCGGTTCCCGAGGGCACTCCCTGGCTCTTCTCGCTAGGAAGGAAGCTCTCCCTTTTCTGATTCCGCTAGTTACAACAGTGGAGGCCCTGTATCTTCATTTGCTTTCAGTGATGTTCATAGCCTTTGGCTCAGCTTTATAAGGCAGAGTTCTGCCCACTTCTGAGTAATTGCTACCTTTGTCTCAGAAAAGGGAACCCCAAATAGCAAGATTCTGAGTCCCGGATTGAAAAGTGAAGGGTGTGAGAGGCAGCCTCTCAGCTCTCAGGCAGCTGGGGGTCCTCACTTCATGTCCTTGTCAACTCCACCCACGTCTTTAAGAAAAGCCACCCTGGTTTAAAATGACTGAAGTATTTCCAAATCGGTCAGCTCAGCCTTACTTCAGCATCTGTTAGGTTTTACCTTGCTTCGAGATTTTCATTCCAAAATAATAGAAACTGCTACAGAAATAAGAACAGAATCTTACTAAATTCCTAATGCTGGCTTATCGCTATGTGATTCAAAAATCAAGGTGCCTCCCATGGGGAGGAAATCCTATTAAATTAAGGATTCTGGTTAATTAAGGTCTTACTTCATTAGTTCAAAAAAAATTTTTTAAATCCACACCAAGAGTTTATTGGCAGACATATGTTACTAACTTTGAGACAAACTTTGAACATATTTTTTTCTTATTCACCATCACCCTTCAACTGAACAATCAAAAAATAGTGAGGTGAGGAAAGACATCATGACATCATGTATGTCACTGGTAGGATGAGTTTTATGAGGTCTAGACTTTGAAACTCACCCACGCTGTCTGTTGGCAACTCCCTCTTGGGTCTCACACACCAAAGCTCCTGGGCCAGGCAGAGAAAGGCAGAAAAGAAAGGAAGTGACAGGTCCTCGGTTCCCAGTACTACACAGGGAGGCTGTGAGCCCTCATTCATCTGAATTGTTTATCTTCTTGCAACTAACAGGGTTTTGCCAGCCGTACTGGGTAGCTTTCTGGTTTATCTGGCTTTTACTTACTTCAAGTTTGCAATGGCTTAAGGAACGGTTTCTTAAAGTTCCTACGCAAATTTTTTCATGAATATTTTCTTTTTCTTGGTTCCACTTGGAAATCAAGGGAAACGTAAATTTAAAAAACATTAACACAATTAGCAGCACGAGTAAACCAATGTTCAGCCTCTTACACATCACTGTTTTTAAACCAAAATGCAGGCAAGGAGAGAGTGGATGGAAGAATTTTCAATGAGGGGATTTTAGTAAATGTCCTACATGATTCACAAACTCTGGAATTACCTTTGAATAATTATAAGTTGACTCCCACTTCATTTAATTAAACGTGGCCTTTTTTTCTCTGGGGTAGAGGGAAAAACGCATTCTCGCTCATCCTAACAGCCTGGTCAGACTTTCTCACTGTTCCACAAAGGATCAAGTTACAAGTTCTCCTTCACTGATTTCTACACAGCACTTGCATTAGATAAGACGTTCTCAAAATTCAGTGAGCATCAGAACCACCTGGAGGACTTGTTAAAAACACAGATTGCAGAAACCCACCCCCAGAGTTTCTGGTCCATTAGTTCTGATGTGGGGCCTGAGATTTGCATGTTTAACAAGTTTCTAGGTGGTTCTGAGGAGTATTCTTTTTAGGCTGTACGGATCACTTTAGGTTTACCAAAAACAATAGCAATGATGACAGCAGCAGCAGTGGGCCAAGGACTCCTCCACTTGGCATCTGTTATTCAGTCAGCACTGATTTAGGGACATCCCATCAGTCTCCTATTTAATTTTCACAACAATTCTGTGAGAGGGGGATTATTAAACCCATTTTCCAGGTTAAAAAAAAATAAGGCTCAGGGGCCGGCCCGGTGGCGCAAGCAGTCAAGTGCGTGCGCTCTGCTGCAGTGGCCCGGGGTTCACCGGTTTGGATCCCGGGCGCGCACCGACACACCGCTTGGGCAAGCCGTGCTGTGGCAGCGTCCCATATAAAGTGGAGGAAGATGGGCACGGGTGTTAGCCCAGGGCCAGTCTTTCTCAGCAAAAAAAGAGGAGGATTGGCAGATGTTAGCACAGGGCTGATCTTCCTCACAAAAAAATAAAATAAAATAAAATAAGGCGCAGAGATTAACTTGGTAATAAACGGTAGATCTGAAAATTCAAACGCAGGTCTGCCTGACAC